ATAAGATTATACTTGGAGAATAACTCTCTGATATTACTGCAACTGAAGGAGGCATATTAAGTACAACTGGTTAAATATAGTTTTTTCTCTGTCTGCCACAGTAAAATAAAATAGATGTCATTAGCTCATCTTATTGACTTTTCTGCCTGTCTGAACCAATTGAGAAGCAATATTGACTAGGACTGATCCTGTCCTAAGGGCACCTGATGGAAAAAGGAATACAAAAATACCTCTAACAAATTGGTTAGTCTCTAAGGTGCCACAAGTACTCCTTTTCTTTTTGCAGATACAGACTAACACAGCTGCTACTCTGAAACAAATACCTCTGAGGATACAATGACTAGCAAGGAAACTTTGTATTATCAGTACAAGGCTACTCTGGGCTAACTGCTTCTAGTCTCTTCACAGGCATCAGTTTACTGAAATGACACACAGCTTAGTTCTCAGCATTAATACAGAATGTTCAAGTCCTCAGTCACCTAGAACCTCATCTGCTAAACATGTATCCAATTACTAAGGAATAATCAATGACTAGTTATCCTCCAGAAACACTGGATAACACTGGCTGGATTAGTGTCATCACAGAAAAACTGACATCATTAAGTAACTGCCTCTCTGAATTACATGAAACAAATACCCATGTTGTAAATAAACAAGACAATTAATATAAAGGAATTTTTAAAATGATTTGTAGTAGATACTAACCAGAAAAAAGAAAAGGTTTTTATTTCAGTCAACCAAGTGACAGAACAGCCCTAATTCCAAAAAGGCAAATAACTGGTTATGGAGGCAGGGAGAGTACACTCAGCTGCACTGCTTTTCTGCACCCACCCTTCAATTTAACCCAGGAAACAGCTTTGATGATGGCCTCAATGGAATCAACGTGACCTGCCCCAAGAGGTAAAAGTGCTACAGCACTCACCAGCTGATGGAAAAGCATTCTAGGGGAAGGGGTGATTCAGCAAAATATGCCACAGAAGGATGAAATAAAGAAGAATCACCTCTTCACACACAGGAAGGAAGGAAGGAAGGAAGGAAGAGTGTATTCTGTCTACTTTCATAATACAAAAAGTTAGATTTGTATAACAGTTTTTACATGTACTGCAATATATATATTTAATTAGCTTCAAATTGCATATTAAGTTAATCTCCATGCCTAACTAAAACATTATGATTTTGTTAACAGTAAATACTTTGTTTGCTTTTTGAAGCAAACGTGTATTTTCAAATGATTTTAAAACTGGATTCTTTCACAGGTTTTGGGAAGGAAGAAAGGAAAAAGTTACCCCTACTATTTTTTAAGACATCATTCTTTCTTACTTCTGTGGACCTCCAAAATTCTGTTGACACAATCGGATTATGAAGTAGCATTCTGCTTCCTATTAAGGTGTTTTCAGTAGAGTGCAAATAAATAATTCTAAAACTCTGGTAAGCAGTTCTTTAATTTTCGAAGCGTAATTTATGAAAATGAAAAACTGGTTTAAACGAGTGTTTTAAATGTCTCTGCATTATATTCTCCAAACGATCTCAAAGATTTGGGTTATTTCTAGAGCAGGAAATCAGGTAATGCTTAAAAATGTGTTAACATTTTTTAACTAACATCTTTAAATGTTCGTATGAAAATGGGTTCGCTGGTTGCCTCTGACCCAAGGCTCTTTTCTAAGGGCTCACCATGATCACCACATACATTTTTGAGGGTACCATTCTGTTTGTCTTAGTTTCAAAGACATTTTAGTTAAAGTATGTTAGCTAACCGTGTTTCATTGGATGCCCCCTGATTCACTTTTTTTCCTGGAAACAGGGCGAGATGCAGAGTGGTGATTGTGTTTGCGGACACCAACCCCCTTCCACACACAGCAGATCAGTCTGAGGTCTGATGTATTTGGTGCTTTCCTGTATGATGCAGAATTAGCCTGGACAGCTATAAACACAGGCATTTGAGAAGCTGTAGATGCCATCCTGGACTAAAACACTACAAGTGATGCAACCTGGCCCTAGCCCTGTTCAGCTGTGCAATGGATTGGCTCCTTGAATACATACATGCTAATATCAGTATAACTGCCAGTTTAATCTCTCTCCTGACCTGGATTATGTGGATGTCATTGACCAATTTGGTCAGGACACAAACAAACAATCTCAAGGATTCACTAGAGAGCTTCCAGCATGAGGGAGCTGCCCTTGGGCTAAGGATTTCTTGGGCAAACACAAAAATCCACAATGTTGGTGCAAAAATTGTGATACAAGACATCTGTGGCTTCTGGATAAATCATGGAAGTAGCGGATGACTTCCTCTATCTAGGCCATAAAATATTGTCAAATGGGCACAGCCAGCCCTAAGGAAAACTGGTTTAGCAGCCTCAGCCTTAAAGGACCTGCACAAGGTCTGGAACCAAAAGAATGTGAAACTATATACAAAAGTACAGATTGATCGAACCTGCATTCTTTCAATTCTCTTATATGGATCTGAAACATGGATGTTGCTTCAACAAGACATCAGCAGGCTGGAGGCATTTCCATATGTGTTGTCACAAGCCACTAGTGAATATAAGATGTTTTGACTATCCGTATTAGGCACATATCACTGAGAACTGGCTTTGAGAGTCATCCCTGGCTACTGCCGGCTTGCTCACCTCAGAGACAAAGTCTCCACAGATCAATCTCTGAAGATCAGAATTGAGGTCAGGAGGGCACTTGGCCCAGTGGTACTCATGGAGTTCCCACAATTAACATGGCTAAACCAGATCAGTAATAATTCTATGGCGCTCTTAGATTCCTGGAACAAAGTTATATAGTGTGATCATGGTCACCGGGCGCTATGTACTTCCACTGCCTCAGCGCATTTCTTTTATTGTTGTATGTTAGTTAATATGTTTTTAAGTACTATCTAATTTTCTAGTCTTGGCTACAAGAGGCAAAATTCTGCCCCCAGGTACAACTGCACAAGCTCATTATATTTATTAGCCAACTACCAAGGGGATGCTTATAGGAAAGGAGGCCAAAGTTTATCCTGTTATAAAACATTTCATTATGGCAAAGCCATTGCAACACCATAGCTAAGGTTGTATTCTGGTTTGCACATGAAACAGGAGTTCAACCTTCAAAAAACAAAAAAAACCAGAATATGACTGAAATTTTCAGCATGCAGTCCACAACAGCTTCAATCTTCTGAGGAGTTTCAATAAAGTTAGCCAAATAGTTTCTGCAATTTAATCAATTAAAATCCCCCTCCCCAAATAGTTCACATTTTGAGTCTCTTTTTTTCAGGCCCTTCTAGCTGAAAAGCTACAAAGTCAAAGTCAAAAAATGTAATATGCATTCAGTGGGTACTTTTGGGGTTATATAATTATTTTGTTAATTAACAAAAATAAAATGAATGTGTTAATGTTGCTTTAACTGAATCCTTACATGCCTTGATTACCTGACGGAGAACAAGATTTACAGAGATCAGGACCCTCTATGAAGTAAGAGTTGCTGGTTCAGCATCCACTTTCCTAAGCATGAATGAATGATTTCCAGAAGCATGCAGAACAGATCGTGAAGTGGAGAAGTTTGGTATGTTTGTGATGCTGGGAGAGGGGGAAATCTTCACTGGGGCAGAGTTTAGTTTTTGGTATGTTGTCTGCCCTTGTGCAGGATGTTTGATTCCAGGTGGAGGAAGCGAAGACACACGCTGTTAGATGCCTTAAATTTTCATTTTATTGCTTGGTGGTTTTGTGTTAACCACAAATCTTAACTCTGACTCACCTTAGCATTTTTGTGTATCATTTAATAAAATGCGGTGATAAAGGGGATAGTCAAGCTCCACTAAACAAGGAGACACAAGGAGGGTGAACTAATATACTTTATTAGATCAATTTCTGTTGGTGAGAGAGAGAAGCTTTCAAGCTTGCCCTGTTTAGGTAAGTTGCACATGTCCACTTCTTTCTGCATGAAAAAGCTCATATAAAGTTAAAAATGCAATAAAGTCATTTCCTTGGGAGGTTCTATTACTTTATAGACCTTCTGGCTACAAGACAGCAACTTACCTGAGTCATATGCCATACATCACAGTCAAGTCAAAGTAAACAACTAAGACATGTAGTGCTGTATTTTTAACTCTATTCAGTTTTCTGGGGTTTTTTGACAAAAATGTATAAAAACAGACCACAATAAACTTTTAATTTGGAAAACACTGACTTTTGTGAAATTATATTATAATGTTAATTCATTTTAAATTTAAATTCTAGGGATATGTTCGCAATTATCAGCATGTTGTTAAAGAATCCTATCCTGAGAATCTCATTAGACAGTGATGTGAAATACAGTTGTTTCCATTTTGAGAACAAAGGGACTTTGAATGAGTAATCAATAGCAACTGGCAGAAAATGAGACATTAATTATGATCCTCTAGTGTTTTGTCTCAGACAAGGTTTCATTAAACGTATTGTGCTAACCTGTACAGTTTCAAATCATTACCAATACATTTGGCCATATATATTTATTGGAGACAGGCGAGAGCATCTCAAAAGAAAAAAATGTGTTATATGAAGTCTTGAATATTGTTTTTCTTGCTCAATTTGAAATAAAAGCATGGATTGTAAAACATTAGTCTTTTTTTAAAAAAATGCCCAAATCTTATAATCTCAGTGTAGTCTCTTGAAAATTTAATTATCTTCTATACCTAAAGTGTCATGCAGGTTTGAAAAGATAATGACAGTCATCCATCAATTGCACCCTGCCAGTGTAATCAGGCTAATCTAGCTCAATGGAGTAAAAAGAAGCTACCTAGGGTACTAAATACTAAAGTGCTACAACATCATAAACAAAATAACAGATATTTAGTTTTACTGTTCTCCTTAATTAACATTAACACTGAGAAATACTGAGATTTCAACATATTCCTCCTCCGCTCTTTATACTAAAGCTTTTTTCAGTACTGTATCAGCTGCCTACTCAATATGTAAACCCAAGCAGAACATGCTATTGTGGATATTTCTATTCCAAAGAAAGGGTGGGGGGAGGAGGGAAGGGGAAGAAAGATGGAAATATCACAGTAAGTAGCTTTTAGAAGAATCCAAATCAAAAGACTTTTTTCAGGGGGTGGGGGTGGAAATAAATATGGGAAGGGAGGCATAATGTGTTTGTGTTTATTCAGTATTTAAGTTACTTGAAAGCATCCAATCAATAGAGTTATTTTTAAATGAATACCTCCCTCTCTCCACGGTGATGGTTGGTTTTCTGCACTGGTACCCTAAGTGGTAAGACTACAAATGCTGTTACAGGCTTCTAGAAGCAGAACCCTGCTGATGTTGGTGTCCGATCCCCGAGGTTTTGCTGGCTCAGCTTGTCTTTTGCTCATCCCCCAGGGTGAGGTATTTTTGCTTTGCATACTGAATTCTGGGAATTACTAAATACTGTGATTACAGCCCCCCACCCCTTGAATCTTTTTGCTACATTATGAAAGGAATAATTTGAGCTTTTTCCTTTGCATGATTATACAAAGAGGGAGCATTATACAGAACTGAGATGTGTCAGGAGAGGAGCAGCTGAAGGGGTACTCATCCTACTTTTTAATTTTTGGGTAACCTGCTTTTCTTTATGATTATGAGATGTGGGCATGAGAAGTTGACTTTGTAATTATAATACAGCTTTTCTCCCAGCTGAGTTTTAGTGTTTTAAAACTCAGAGTGTAACTATACCAACATACTATCTCAAGCTCTATCTTTGCATCAACTTACATGCTCTGTATCTTTAGCACAATCATATTTTAAAATGCAGAACCACCGAACTATGTTGTATGTTTTTAGAATTGAGGTGCTGCTTCTTCTCCCCAAAAACAACTAAGAGGAAGATCTCCAACCCCTTCCAAACGTTCACTCATACTGGGTTCAAAGTAGTGATGGCTCAAATCACACCAGGACTGGATTCTGACAACATCATTTGTATAGCACTCATGTTTTGTTTTTTTAAAAGAAATGGGGATGAAGGGAGGAAAAGAAAAAGGTTTGCACTTGGGCTGTTGATTAATCGCAGTTAACTCATGTGATTAACTCAAAAAAATTAATCGTGATTCATCACACTCTTAAACAATAGAATACCAACTGAAATTTATTAAATATTTTTGGATGTTTCCCTACATTTTCAAATATATTGATTTCAATTACCAGACAGAACACAAAGTGTACACGGCACACTTTACATTATTATTTTTTATTACAAATATTTGAACTGTAAAAATGATAAACAAAAGAAATAATATTTTTCAGTTCACCTCATACAAGTACACCTCTACCCCGATATAACACGAATTAGGATATAACATGGTAAAGCAGCGCTCTGGGGGGCGGGGCTGTGTGCTTCGGCGGATCAGCGCTTTAGCATGTCTGGCTCCAGCACGCTGCTCTGAGAGCCGTGTAAACGGTGCCGGGCCGGGGCTGAGAGGTTGGATAAGGGGCAGAGGGTCTCGGGGGGCAGTCAGGGGCAGAGCCTCCCCCCGCCCAGGGTCTGGGAGGCAGGAGCTGTGGGGGGCACTTTTGGGGGCCCCCGCAGGCCCAGAGTGTCCCAGGTGATTAGCGGGGGACTGGGAGCAGCCAACTCCGCTTCCCTCACCCCGGCCCCAGCCATGTCACTTGGGGGAGGGGGCTTGGGGGAAGGGATTCCCCCCGCACTCACCAGCAGCGGCGGAAGCAGAGCAGCCCAGCCCCAGTCTGCTCCACTCTGCCAGCTCCCAACCGCGGCGCTCCGCTTCCCGCTGCCAGTGAGTGCGGGACGTTTCCCCAATCCCCCCACCCCCCAAGCGACACAGCTCGGGCTGGGGCAAGGAAAGCAGAGTGGCTGGGGCTGGCTCTACTTCCCGCCGCAGGTGTGTGCGCGGGGTGTCCTTTCCCCAACTTCTCTGCACTCACTGGCGGCGGGAAGCAGAGTGCCGTGGCTGGGAGCTGTCGGAGTGGAGTGGGCTGGGGCCACGTTGCTCCGCTTCCCGCCGCTGTCGGTGAGTGCCTGTCAGGGGGCAGGGGTGTGGATAGGGGACAGGGCAGTCAGGCGACAGGGAGCAGGGGGTTGGGGTCCTGGGGGTGATTAGGGACGGGAGGGTCTCTGGAGGGGGCGGTCAGGAGACAAGGAGCAGGGGAGCCAAAGCAAGTTCGATACAACATGGTTTCACCTATAATGTGGTAAGATTTTTTGCCTCCCGAGGACCGCATTATATCGGGGTAGAGGTGTATATAAGCAGAAATTTATCTGATTAATGGACCAAATAACGGTTAGCCTTTTAAAGGCTAATCATGTACGTTTTCACTTTTAAAGCTGTACATATAGCTGAATAACCAACTATCCTAAAGTGTTTTGATGCCAGGTTCATTGTTATCACAGAATCATGGAATATTAGAGTTGGAAGAAACCTCAAGAGGTCATCTAGTCCAATCCCCTGCTCAAAACAGGACCAACACCAACTAAATCATCCCTGCCAAGGCTTTGTCAAGCCAGGCCTTAAAAACCTCTGAGGATGGAGATTCCACCACCTCCATAGGTAACCTATTCCAGTGTTTCACCACCCTCCTAGTGAAATAGTGTTTTCTAATATCCAACCTAGACCTCCCTCACTGCAACTTGAGACCATTGCTTCTTGTTCTGCCATCTGCCACCACTGAGAACAGCCTAGCTCCAACCTCTTTAGAACCCCCCTTCAGGTAACTGAAGGCTGCTAATATATCCCCCCCTCACTCTTCTCTTCTGCAGACTAAATAACCCCAGTTCCCTCAGCCTCTCCTTGTAAGTCATGTGCCCCAGCCCCCTAATCATTTTCGTTGCCCTCCACTTGACTCTCTCCAATTTGTCCACATCCCTTCTGTAGTGCGGGGACCAAAACTGGATGCAATACTCCAGGTGTGGCCTCAGCAGTGCCGAATAGAGGGGAATAATCACTTCCCTCAATTTCCTGGCAATGCTCCTACTAATACAGCCCAATATGCCATTGGCCTTCTTGGAAACAAGGGCACGCTGACAACTCATATCCAGCCTTTCATCCACTGTGATCCCCCGGTCCTTTTTGGCAGAACTGCTGCTTAGCCAGTCAGTCCCCAGCCTGTAGCAGTACATGGGATTCTTCCTTCCTAAGTGTAGAACTGTGCACTTGTCCTTGTTGAACCGCATCAGATTTCTTTTGGCCCAATCCTCCAATTTGCCTAGGTCACTCTGGACCCTATCCCTACCCTCCATTGTATCTACCTCTCCCCCAAGCCTAGTGTCATCTGCGAACTTGCTGAGGGTGCAATTAATCCCATCATCCAGATAATTAATAAAGATGTTGAACAAAACCGGCCCCAGGACCAGCCCCTGGGGCACTCTGCTTGACACCAGCTGCCAACTAGACATCAAGCTGTTGATCACTTCCTGTTGAGCCCGACAATCTAGCCAGCTCTCTATCCACCTTATAATCCTTATAGTATTCCAGCAGGCTCTTGGGCTATTCAGGATTAAATACTAGACAAAAGGTGAAAAGCCCAATAATAAAATTATATTTGCATCCCAGTCCTAATATACAGATTATGGTCAGATTCCCAAGTACAAACATTATTTCAGTCTAGAATAGCTTGATCGAATGTCTATCACCCTTCCTCATCCCAGGCTACGACCCATGCTCTTGAATGATCTTTTAGGATGGTTACACAAGCAAGTATGAGTTGGATAGTTTGGTTCCCCTATTGGTATTATCAGAGTACTCAACTAGCCCTTTGCTTCCATTCAGCTTTTTCAGGATACTGGTTTGGAGCTGCACTCTCCCCTAACTCAGTCGAGTTGACATTTTATAAGAAATGGGTTGCCTGCACAAAACTTTATCCTCTAACAATAGTCACCAGAATGGACTATTTGCAATTTTCTAAAAATCTCAGAATAGCAAACCAGCCAGCTGCACCTCAAAGAAATAAGGGGTGGAGTGGTGGTACCTCCTCTTAACCAGCCTTATTTTTTGGGTGTGGGAGGCAAGTAAATGGGGGCTTATGCAGGGTAGAAAAGAAGAAGCATGGTAGCTGAAGCATCCTTCAGTTAATTCCAGGGAAGGGAGCTCCAGGTAATTATGCTGATCTTCCTGGCCCAGTTGCCAGACAAGTGAAAGGGAAACAACTGCGGTCAGCGTAAGCTGCAGGAACCAGAAGTTCTGGGATGCGCTGTGTAAAGCTTGTGAAATAGCACTGATATTCACACTATTTGGCAAGACAAGGTTATGTTCTGCTCTCTCTATTACACTTACCAACAGACAGGGCTCTTACTTCCGTAAACAGCCCGCTGTAACCTATCTATACCATCAAGCATACATTTGTTTTATGGAATATTCATAACCAATCTCCAACTAAGCAGAGCCATAAATTCAAAGATGACAATACTGCATTCAGAAAAGTTTTCAAATGCTTCAACCCCATCTAAAGAAAAGGTGAGAAAAGAGTTATTTATTTTTTGTCTGCCTCTTTCCTTAAGACATTCAAAATGATTCCTCACAGAAATGCTCCCCTTTTATAAATAGTAGTCCTCCTTCCCCTATGTCTAATTTATAACACCTGCTACCCACTCCTCTCAGGGATGTCTTCCCTGATTAACTTCAGGTGGTCACCTCTTGCTTCAGAAAACCTTGCCTCTAAGCAAGTACATCTTTACTTTCTTAAATGTTATGCCTATGAGCGGGCTCTTTATCTCAGCTGAAAAACAAGAGCCACTTTTGTGCTATTGGCAGAAGAATTCTCCTCTAATAAGTCACAAATTAAGAGATGATTAACAGCGTGCATAATATAAAACAAAATAAAACTTGGTTTCCAGATTCAGAGGGGCCTAAAATACATAAACCTTTATTAAGGAGTATCATCTGGCAGAAGCCAGAATCACTGCTTCACTTAATGTTGTGTCAGACTTTCCATTATAAAACCCATTTTTCAGGGATTTACAGCATACATGTAACACTGTTCTTTGGCCTGACACCAGATATAAAAGGTGTCAGCCAAAAGAAGATTAAAAGGCAAAAATTTACAAAACAAAACTAAATTAATTTCTCAGCTTTTAAAG